ATTCTCAGATCAACTAACCTAAATCACTGTCGTATCTGGGTGGATCGCTATGTTTGTTATTCCGCCCTGGTATCAGGCCCCTAATGATACCAGGACTGTTTTTTGCTGCATTCACTGATCTCTTTTGACGACCGGATGCAGTACAAGCGGTTCTGCCTTGATGCATGACTGCCTGTGTGGGCTGTGGATTAGAACTTCAGGAAAGCATAATCATTCGTAGTTCCGAGCAATCAGGATGGATTAGTGGCCGTAACTCCTACCTCCCTTTGAATGGCGTGAATCAGAAAAGGCAGACTCGACTGTTAGACCTCTGTCGAGTATCCGTCCTCCAGAAGCTTGCTTTTGGTATGCGCGTACAGTATTTCAAACAATCCCAGGAGAAGGTGATAGGGCGTAACACCCTGGCTCGATGGTAGAACTCTTCGCTTAGTTTTTGCCGATCCACGGGTTCAGATTTGTATTCCGGTTCTTCCAGGCCTGACTTGCTGTCGACAATCGCCGTTAAACTTCTCCCTTTCTTTTCTGATGACGCTTCTTAAGGCATGGCATGTCTTAAAGGCTCGTTTACGTTCATTCAGTCTTCATCTGCATCATTTAACCACCTACCAACAACCATTAGTGATCTTGTTTAGGCTTCGACAGCTCATTTCATCCTTCACACTGTTCGATGGCTGTGTGTAATATGCCTTTGCGCCAGTTACTGCAGTTAATTGAACGTCTACTCGTATGTATATGTTTCTCTTCCCAACCAAAAGCGAGTAAAATGTGCCGACCTGGAAAGCCTTGAACAGTGCTTCAAGGAATTCCAGTCATCCGCCGCTGAACTGCGTGACCTGACGAAATCCTTTAGCGATCCCAACGACGAGGGAAGAAAAAAGACTGCAGCACAATCAATGCGGCTTGTTCAGTTGGATTTGTCTCTCCTGCGTTGTGCAGAAGAGATCGGACACTGGCTTCATCTTCTCGACTTCTCAACGGCTCATTCTCCGAACAATCTGTCTTCCAAGTCCATACAACTATTCCGAGTTAGTTCGTTTGAACTCTGCCTTTATGTTTTACACTTCAGATTATTGTCCTTTTAGGTAATTATGGTTTTTTTTCACAAATCATTCCTCCTAGTATACTCCTCTTGATTTTAACCTGCAAGTTTCCACATCTTTCTCACATTTCCTCCCTCCTTGCCGTCCCTCCCAGCCAACTCCGAGTCATACACAATATCGCTCTTCCGAATCCTGTAGATATTACAAATGAGAGCGAAGGCTCCGCTACCAAGCAGACAATTATATTATTCTGAGCTTTCGGACTTTTTCTTTGCTGGATTCTCGTAGATGTCCGTAAAACAAAAAGGCCAACTATTCAAGTTGAACACAATGCTACATAAATTGCGTAAATCGGCACTATTTATTTGATTTGAGCACGTATGTTTTTACTTTATTAAATTATTAATGTTGAATCCCTTTTCAGGAAATGGTAGAATTTCAGTTGGCTTCTTCGCGTCCGGCTGGCTCTAAGCCCGACAGTTCGCAGGCTGAATCACCGCCTTCCTTGCATACAGCGAAGAAATTATTCGAGACAACCGGATCCCTACTGGTGGAGGAGAGGGAACGTGCTCTTAAGTCTTGTTTCGACTGCCTAGCTCTCCTGCGCTCGCATTTAATACAAAATAGTTTCGCCTGGAGAAAACGATTTCCCCGATGGCAGACGATCGTACGCGATGCCCAAACAAAGTTTTCAGTTGAATCTGATTTACTCCGAACCGCACTTGGGACGGACGATGTCAAGATAGCCACTTCGAAGGCAAGTTGCTTTGTGCCATTAGCTGTCCAGTTCCTAGCCCCTGAAGTGACTCCGTGTCCAAGAAAAAGAAATTTATCATGGAGATTTATTAATCCCATGGGGCGAAGAGTACCACAGAAGTTCGGAGAGGAGGTTTTAGTGACAGTCTACCTGCTTTTAAACTATACCAGGGACTTTGACTTCACCTCGATATTCTTACTCTGCTTCACTTGGAGCCATCCAATATGTTGTCACAAGAAAGTGTTATGATTATGGAATTAAATACGGTAATCTTCTCTTAAGCCACCACTAAAGCTTAGTCCCGCCGAACGCCTCGAGTTTTTTCACAGTTGGGTCAACTCAAATTAAGCGAATGTGCCAAACCTCCTAATAAAAAGGCTTTGTTGGAAAGAGGCGTAACTATTGGCATTTCTTGTCGCTTGAGCCCACTTACAGTTAGTGCACAATCTGATGCAATAAGTTCAAAAACGTAATAAAAGTCA